ATATAAAAATATTTATAAATAATCAATTTAAAAAAGAAAAATAGTACAGGTTAATACTGCAGGCATTCAATATACCTAGGTATTATAATTTATAGATCCGTGGTTATGAAATAACCCATAAGAAAAACTATGATGGTAGAGTTCATGGGGAAAAATGATGAAACGTCCCGTGTGTTCAACTTAAGAATAATAGTAGGGGTACTCTAAAATGTCAGCACTGGGTATACATATAATTGACTTGACTGAAGTATCGACGGAAACTGTCGCCGCCGACTAAATTTCTTAACTTGAACAGAGTATAAACTATGTTAATTATGTTGGTCAGATTAAGAACATTTGAATAATACAAAATAGTGCTACAATAATTATTAAAGTTAAAATATTTTTTATACGCATTTGTTGCTAAACTCTGTTACATTTTGTAGTGAAATTAAATGTTAGGTACGTAGGTTCAGACTAAATTCTGTTACGTCACATATATAATATGCTTACTGGTGCGCCTTTGACTTTATATTATACTTATGACCTATCTGTTATATTTAAATATTTTAAGAAAAAATATTTCATATTTCGTACAGTTATAGTTTATACGACATAAAAACAAAGGTGGGCAAGTTAATGAAAATAATTAACTCAAGTTAAATTAAGTTAAGAGGACAAAATATCGATTAGTTAAAAGTTAGCAGTTAACAAATTATAAATTTAACTCGATAAGTTAAAAGTTCATATAGAAATATAAAATATTAACTTAACTCAGTTTAAAAAAAGTTAATCTATTTTAGATTCTGAGTGAAACGATGAATGTATTGATTTTACAATGATGTGTGTTTTTTTTTATTTTTGTGTCTGTCATCACGTTTTAGGACAGTAAAAGTGCTTGGATTTTCTTCAACAGTATTTTTTCTGATAGGAAAGTGAATCTAGTTGGTAGGGGGCCAAAACTTTTGGGGGTCAAAAGTAAAAATTTCCCAGTAGTTTTCACAAGCACCGGGAAAAACAACATAAAAATTAAGGAAAAACGGGAATTTTTACACAAAATCGGTTTTCCAAAAAATCGATTTTGAGTTTTGGTGTAACTCTAAAAGAAATGAACGTATATACATGAAACTTTCACTGGTTGTTTATATTTGCATTTTCTATACACGATAACATTTTCAAAATATTTTGATTTATTTTGAACTGTTTAGGGACATTTTCATTTTCCATCTTTTTTTATTTTTTTTCTAAAAATATCAATAAAATTTTATTTGTTGGTTGCGAAAAGTTGAAAATTTAATAGAAGGCTCCTAGTATATTGTTTCAAATGCAGATGAAAAATATTAAAAATCCTTAGTCACAATTTTTTTTTATAAGCATTTAAAGTTCAAAAATTGACAAAATATGGAAAAATCACGAAAATTAGCAAATTATTTTGAGTTAAGAATTCGTAAAAATTTTTCTTTTTAAATCTAAGATTTTAAAATGTAATACAAGATTCCTTATACGATTATCTACCTTTATCAAAAAAAAAAATGTCTATAAGAAAGTCAAATTAAATTTTTATGAGCGTTCGAAATTTGTAATATTTAAGTATAAACAAACAAATTCAAAATGTTTTAACTTAATGAATTTTTTTAAATCAACTGAGAAAAGCTAAGTTATTTCAATTGTAAATTAAACTATTTAAGTTCATAAGTTGATTAGAAAATAAACTTACTAGTTAAGTTAAAAAGTTAAAAAAAAATTAACTTTTTAACTGAACTTTAACTTTTCAACTAGTTAATGCCCACCTTTGCATAAAAACATCACTATACCACTAAGTCTTTTTGGAGAATCAAATATAATATTATTCCAACCTTTAATCAGTGTGTACATTAATCTGTCAGTTATTATTGTAATAATAATTAATAAACACTATGTCCTATACATTATTGGTGCAGGTGCGGTAGACCAGCCAAGACTACATTGAAACCGCGGTCCGGCAAGGAATATCATCAGATCGGATTTTTTCTGGACGGAGACCTGAAGGTAAATAATGTTACAATATCACATAACTAAAATATATAGTTTAAACGATCATGCTAATCAAATTTTGTGTCGTCCAGGTCAAATCCGATATACCACCAGTTCCTGAAAAGACGGAAACCCCTTCTACCAGGTATGCAGCAGCCCAAGAAAGCAACGTCGTCTGATGACACTAGGAGAAGGATTGCATCCTAGAAAGATGTAGAACGATTATTTTTCTGCAGTCAATATAAGCATTTGACTTATTATTACAGAAGGGAAGAAGATGGAAGTATAAAGATTGAATTAAACTGTACATTGTTAAAATTTACTGAAAATAACATATCACAACATGTATAAAATACTACTGTAATAATATACTTAAATATTAATAATGTAATTTTAAAGTGTTGAATTTAAGACTGCCAACTTAAAAAAATGTAATATACAAAAAAAATAAATAATATTTATGTATTCACACATTCATGAAATGAAATATTATAATATATTTATTACAATAACGGTTTAGTCTACTAAGAACTAGTCATCTATAGTCAATTTAAATTTTGTAGTGGAATATTTTCCTTAGTGTATACTGTATAATGTATAAATATGTAACTAATAATAATAATAAAAAAAAAACATTTTATCATACTTTTTATTCTTAAATTATTTACAATATAAGTATAAGTACGTTTGAAAATTTTGTACAATTTTTTTTAAATCAAATAATTATACAAAAAGAAAAAAATTGTCAATACATTTTTTTACAATTCATAATAAACTTATAGATAACTTTATTTAAATTTGTGCGTATAATATTTATCAACAATTATCTTCATAAATACAAATCTTGGAGCCACCAAACTACCACTAAATTAATCAATAAATACATATATAATGATACGTATGATTTTATATATACATATTATAATATATTATATAAATTTTGTATGTATTTTCTTAGTCTTTTATTAGTGTTAAGAACACATTCTTTTATCACAAAAATAAATAGTATAATTAAAACTAGAGGTAAATATTCAAAAGTGATTTTACTTGGATACATTGTTATAAATTTTACATATTATCGTTTTTAATTATTATTATAATATTATTTAATATTTATATTTTACTAAATATTTCTTTCTTTATTGTTGAGGCTTTTGAGACAATGCTTTTAGCTTTTCAATTTTCCATTTTTGAATTTTTTCTTTCAGATCTGTTGCTGTAAATAAATTTAATTTTAAAGTAATTATTAAAGCTATAAAAAAATATAAGGACAGATGTAAGACATATTCCAATGTGCTTAATTTTATTGTAATATTACTTAGGCCAGTTGTACCATCTCCGATGAAAGTTAACCCGAGTTTAATTGGTCAAATTTGCCCAATTATAAAATCTGTTATCAGCTGATTAAGCGTAATCGAAGTGTAACCTTAGACGGTACAACTGGTTCTTAGTATATTACATTTTTTTTTTAAAGATAAGGATTATAACAAAATGTTGCATTTCTTGAGGAAAGAGTTTGAATAGTTAAATATTATGTAGCACACCAAATTTTGTCTCCCATCTTACAAACTTATAATAGAGACGGCAAATTTGTGTTCAGCTGAACCAATTTTGTATTGTTGGCTTTGATATTAGAGTAAATTAACCAAATATTAAGCTTAAAAGTAAGAATATTATCTGTTTTAGAGCATTGGTTTTCATGATAATTTAATTTTTAAGCATGTGGTATGCATTTTTAAAGTTGCAATATTTTATCCTTACAACATGCTTAAAAATTTTAATTCATGATATTTTAATATGCTTATTTATGCATTAATTTCACTACAACGATGGCACTGGTTATAATAATAACCAATTAATTTTGGAGTACATTCATTGTACTATTGCCAACTTAATTTATTGCTAAAAGTGAATAATTGAATACCTAAATTTGAATGAAGTTGGCCCAGAGCCTACTGAAAAGTGAAT